GTGTTCTGATTTACCAATGGGGGCCATTAGAGACGTTGCACAAGCACCATGCTCACATCCAATCAAACAACAATGCAGCCATCACAATTTTCGYTCGTTTGCAGTGGAACAAGACCGCGTTTCTATAACGTTTTGAGCGTTCTACAGCTTGAGGAGTGTTTCATCAGAGAACAGAACATAGCTAAGCCTGATCTATTCGCTTTATATAATAGATTTTTACGAAAAAAATAGCGTAAAATTTCAAAAAAAAAGATTTGTTTACAAAAAGTACGCGCGTATGTCGTCAAACTCACACAAAYAAATTGGATCTATGCGATGATTGGCTAAAAAACGCGACCTATGGCTATCTGATTGGTCCAGTTACGACAAAACAATAGCTAGATAAATAAGAACACCATRACATCTGATTGAAACTCAAATATAACAGTGTTCAAAGAAATTAACAAATTGCTTGTTTCAGTTTCTATAAGTTGTACTACTAGTCATAAGTGTGATGCAGTCGTTTTTTATCTTAATAATTGTAATATAAACAAATTCATATCAAACTTTCCACATAGAAAAGTTGTCGTTCCGCTCGAGCTGTTTCTTTTACCATATATGGAATGTACTTACCATATTAGGAAATTGGAATATAATTTTCTTCACTAAATAGGCGAATTTCTTGCTCAAAACCGCTCAAATTTACAGTAAATCGAGTGAAAACATCACTAACTAGTCAGCCATCTTGGTTTTGGCCGAAAAAAGACTGGAAATTGTGTAGGGGAGGGGAGCGTGGTTTGTCACCACAGGAAGCCCGCGAATGACAACAATTGTTTGATATGGTAATTGTAATTAATAACAAACTGTAATAAAATTTCATGCACGCAACAGTCCTGAGAATATGAATGAACGTAGCAGCGTCATTGCGTTAAAATGAAATTTGAAAATCTGAAATCTTTCGTTATCATCGTCCTAGATATCATCTTCCGATCTTAGATATCAGCGTTCTCCTCGTAACAAGTCCTCGAGCCTACTACGTAATCTTTTTTATCATATGAYCCGTTCGACCCTACTCGTGCGCTCTAATAAAACCTTTAGAAAAAGTCACGTGATGGAGGCTGGACGGGTTGGCGTGAGCGGGCCGGAAAAATCCGTATGGCCTTCCTTCGGTTTATGCTCTATGTATTTGTCAATTTTAGCAGGATGTTTTAGCCTCTCACGCAACAACAAAAATTGCTGCGTGACGTACGACATGACCTGGAGCCAAATATTTTCTCGTCCTGCCCTTCCACTCAGTCAATTAGTACATAATATACTAAAAGATATGAACTATCAGATACCAGAGTTGCAAGATACAGAGTTRCAGAGTTAGAGCCGTGTRTATGTATTAGGTATTATTATGTGAMRTTTATGTTGTATTTTTGTCATTTTAGGTGGACAACCTTAATGACATTRGCTGTATACAGCTATTTCAAAAAACAATTTGAATGCTGCATACTGAATACTGTAMACTGGATAAAACGTATAACGCAGGTTTAGAATTAAACTGTCGTGGAACTCCCACGAAATGATAGAATAGCATTGGGAACCCTGTGTTGCACATCAGTAGACATTATGGGATAGCCGAGCGCTTGATATTGTAAAAACGTCTCGACTAAAATAACTTGATTTGCAATAAACGAGAAGAAAAAAGAGTACTTTTTTTGCTCTATATGCTTGTCCGTGTTGCTCACAAGCCTATCATGACTTAACCGGACATTTATTGACTAATTATCGAAGATAAAGACGAAACGTTAACGTTTAACAGAAAAGGAGCTATTTAGTGACAATAATAATAATAATAATAATAATAATAATAATAATAAT